ATGGATTACTTATTAATTACAAAGGGGAAAGGATACAGTTGAGAAATCTGGTTAACATCACTGTAATCAAGTGATCAAAGTTAACATCATCATTGGAACAAATTGATGTCATATGCCTCCTGGTATGATATGTATAAGGCATAGTCTGAAGCTGATTGTGGGAAAACAAAAACCCAAATTGAGAGATACTCTACAAAACATGGTCCATGCTTCAAAAATGTCACTGTTGTGAAGGCAAGGGCTGAGAAACTGTTCTAGAGAAGAGAGATTAAAAGAGAATGACAACTAAATGCAGTATGTGATCCTGGATTAGGAAAAGTGTTGTTATAAAAGACATTATTGGGATAATTGGGGACATTTGCATATGGGCTGTATTTTTTATTATATAACTAATAGTATCATATCAAAGTTAATTTTCTTGAATTTGATTATTGTGTTGTTATAAGGATAAGAACGTTTCCCTTAGGGAGGTATATACTTAAGTATTTGGTGAAAGATTATAATCTATGCAGTTTACTTTCAAATGCTTCAGAAAAATATATATACATTTAAATGTACACACACATTAAAGAGACATAACTGTGGCAATTTAACACTTGGTGAATCTAAATTAAGGTTAAATGGGGGTTCATCATAATATTTTTGCAACTTTTCTGTAGGTTTGAAAATTTTCAAAATAAAAAATAAGGGGTGAGCAAATTTAATTTGGAAAAGAAAACTGTTTATTTCCATGATCATGCAAGCAGAGTCAAGTTGAGAGATGGAAGAATTGTTTATTTTTATTTTTGGTCCAGTATTGAACATTCAGTTCCTTAATTAACTTGAGTTTTTCCTTCAGAATAAAATAAAAAGTATGGGGATAAATTTCTTTTTTTTTTTTAATATTTTATTTATTTATTTTATTTCCCCCCAAAGCCGCAGTAGATAGTTGCATGTCATAGCTGCACATCCTTCTAGTTGCTGTATGTGGGACGCGGCCTCAGCATGGCCGGAGAAGCAGTGCGTCGGTGTGCACCCGGGATCCGAACCCTGGCCGCCAGCAGCGGAGCGAGAGCACTTAACCGCTAAGCCACAGGGCCGGCCCTAAATTTCTTTTAATGAATCCTGACTGCCCAGGAAGACCACTCACCGTAAGAAAGCAATATTAAGTACAGTGGAAACATTGACTCTCAGTGGGTTACAACAGAAGTTTTAGAGTTAACCAAAACTGAGCAGTGTTGAGAGTTGTTTTGGGAGAAATTGACTATCTTAGTCACTTTTAGTCTATAAAACCGATTTTTTTAAATTTCTCATACACTTAGAAATTATCTAGGAAATAGCAAATAATTGCTGCACCTAGATGTTGGAGGCATATTAAGACAGTTTTAATTTGTTGTGTCTGTGGTTGAAAAAGTTACTGATCTTAGTTTAAATTTACATTTTGTACAAATAAGTAAACTTTAAAAATCTCAGAAGTTCCATGTTTAAAAAAAAAATTACTGTTCTCTGCTTACTGTAAAGTAGTTAAGCATCTTCTGTAAATTGCATGTTCCTTTCCTTTGCCCTTTATTGTAGTGTTTTTCTTAATTGATCTGTAGAAGTTCTTATTATATTCTGAACATTAATTCTCTATTAATATATGTATTTGCAAGTAACTTCTCCCAATTTGTTGTTTGTTTTTAACTTTGTGATATTCGTCATCATATAGAAGTTTTTATTGTTTGGAATGTCTTCATTTATTGAGGAAATCTACCCTATCTATCCTATCTATTTAATTCTGCTTAATTGTTTTGATATCTAGTATAGTCTGTCTTCATTATTCTTTTTCTAAATTATCTTAGCTATTTTTAAATTTTATCTAATGTGTAAAGTGATTTACTTTTTTTCAAGTTTTTTTTTATTGTAGTAAAATATACATAACATAAAATTTACCAGTTTAACCATTTTTAAGTGTACAATTTAGTGGCATTCAGTACAGTCACATTGGTGTGCAACCATCATCACCATCCATGTGAGAACTTTCTCATCCTCCACGATTGAAACTCTGTACCCATTAAACAGTAACTCTTCAATTTCCCCTCCCTCTAACCTCTGACAATCACCATTCTACTTTCTGTCAAGTTTAACTACCTCTCTCATAGAAGTGGAATCAAAGTAAGCATTTGTCTTTTTGTGTCTGGCTTATTTCACTTAGCATAATGTCTTCAGAGTTCATCCATGTTGTAGCATGTGTCAGAATTTCAGTCCTTTTTATGACTGAATAATATTCCATTGTAGTATGTATTTACCACATTTTGTTTATCCATTCATCTGTTGATGAACACTTAGGTTACTTCCACCTTTCGGCTATTGTGAATAATGCTGCTGTGAACATGAGTGTACAAATATCTGTTTGAGTCTCTGCTTTCAACTCTTAAGAACATTGGTGTACAAGTATCTTTTTGAGTCTCTGCTTTAATATTTTGGGTATGTACCTAACAGTAGAAATGCTGGATCATATGGTAATTCCATGTTTAATTTTTTTTTTTTTAAAGATTTTATTTATTTTATTTTTTTCCCCCCAAAGCCCCAGTGGATAGTTATATGTTGTAGCTGCACATCCTTCTAGTTGCTGTATGTGGGATTTGGCCTTAGGATGGCCGGAGAAGTGGTGCCTCGATGCGCACCCGGGATCCGAACCCGGGCCACCAGCATCGCAGCGCGCGCACTTAACCACCAAGCCACAGGGCCGGCCCCCATGTTTAATTTTTGAAGCAACCGCCATACTGTTTTCCATAGCAGCTGCACCATTTTACACTCCCACTAACAGTGTACAAGGATTCCAGTTTCTCCACATCCTTGCCAACATTTGTTATTTTGTTTTATAATAGCCAACCTAATGGATATGAAGTGGTATCTCTCTGTGGTTTTGATTTGCATATCCCTAAATGACTAGTGATATTGAGCATCTTTTCATGTGCTTGTTGGCCATTTGTGTATCTTTTTGGAGAAATGTCTAAGACCTTTGCCCATTTTCTTAATTGGATGGTTTGTTTTTTGGCAGTTGAGTTGTTAAAGTTCTTTATGTAGTCTTGATATTAATCCCTTATCAGCTATATGATTTGCAAGTATTTTTTCCTATTCTGTGGGTTGTCTTTTTATTTTCTTAATGTCTTGGCTATTTTTATTCTTTCTTTATTAAGTTAACTTTTTTAATAATAAAAAGAAATTGAAAATCTTCCCTTTCCAATTGTCTACAATCGTTTTATTTCACCCCTCCCCTACCCCCAGACACACACACACACACACACACACACACACACACACACACACAGAATTTCACTTAAGAACTTTAATAGTCAGGGATATTCTAAGCCAGGGGCTGGCAACCTGTGGTCCACAGGGCAAATTTGGCCCACATCTTTTTTTTGTAAATAAAGTTTTATTGAAACACAGGCACTACACTCATTCCTCTATGTCTGTGACTGCTTTTGTGTTACAATGGCAGAGTTGAGTAACTGCGACAGAGACTGCCTAACTTGCAGATGATAAAATATTTATCATCTTGCTCTTTACAGAAATAGTTTGCCACCCCCTAAACTATCACATCTGATATTGCGATACCTCCCCACACATACCCTATCCTCCTTTATTAGAAGTGCCGTCCCTTCCGTCTACCTGGGCTTAGTTTCTAGCCCCTCCTATTTTTTCAGGAGCCTTATACTTCTCTCTCCTATATTTTCCACTGTATTGTCTCAAATGGCTAAAATAAATGGCTCTTCCTCAATGGCTAAAATAAATAAGTTTTTAGCATACTTCATCCCTACTTGTTATGGAGTTGTAAATCACTGTTTTTAGTTCCTCTATTGCAGAATTTGCAAACTGCTCGAATGCAGGCCATATAAAGCCTGCAGCCATGTTTTCTGTGACTCATTCAGTGCCAACATTTCAAATTGGGACATTTTGCATTAAAATACAGATTTCTAGATTGTCTTGAAAAAACTATATATATGGTGATGGTGAAGCTAAGTTTCCAGATGGCATTAGTCATCAGGAATAACAGCTGCCCCTTTAAACAGTCAGTTGTGTTCCCTTTTTCTGGATACACGCCAGGGTGATTTCCCCTCTTTTTGTATGGCTTAGTGTTTCTCTTTAATCCTGTAGGTTTATTTCAAATTCTGATGATCCTTGGTTTTGCTTTCCTATTTAAAAATGAGGCCCTAGAAAAAAGCTGTGTGTACGTGTATAGGAATTGGTGACTGGCCAACATTGTTTGAGGTTAAGCAGATGGAAACCTGGCCATTATGCTTTGCCACTCTTCACTGCCAGGTTTCAGAGGGCTTTGCTCTGGTTCACCACCTCTTATATTAGCTGCACTGATCCTATCCAGGTAATTCAGTTTCTTTAAAAAATAGCCTTTGAGTGTGCATGTGTGCACTTACACTCATATCCAGGAAGAAACACCTACCAGCCAAGTATTCTGATTTAACAGTTTATAAACTTTGAATTCCCTGTCCCACACTTACTCACTCTGAACTGTATTGTGCCTTGTTTCTGAGCTAAGCTGCTCTTCAGGTGTGTGGGGCAGACCACACCCACCTCAGCTGTAGCCTTCCCTTCTAAGGGTTATGTTTTCCTTCATTCTGTTACATCAGTCACCTCTCTTACATTGGCTTCCCATTTTCTAGAAATGTGTTAAAGTTTCTTGTTTACCGATTGACCCTTCCCCTAATCTCTTTGCTGTTGTAGGATTAGTTTTTTAAAAAATTCCTTTATTGTTATTTTAATGGATTCTAGAGAAAGAGTTAAGTATATGTATTCATGTGTCATTTTGAACTAGAAAACCTCTGGCTTTTCTTTTAAAATGTGATTTCATAAAGAAAATATGGCTGTACCTGTTAATAATTGTACATTTTACTTTAATTTTGTATTTTTATACTAATATAAAAAAACTATATTAATATAGTTTTAATGGAAGACCAAAGCTAGCCATAAAATTCTGTGTTGCCAATAATATTATTTTCTTTATTGATCTGAAACAGTTGATGACTATCAGCCAGTTCGGTTGTTAAGTAAACCCGGGGAATTAAGAAGAGAATATGAAGAGGAGATAAGCAAGGTAGGAACTAAATAGTTATTCTTTTTTGGAAAAATTCTCTGCTGTATTTTCCGTTTCAGGTTTTACGTGTAGTTTTATATGCTTATATAAATAGTATATATTGAAATATAAATAATTTCAATGTACTTTATAAAGGCTCCGTTTTTTACATATGTTCAGAGTGGTTGCAAACTAGCTTTATTTATCCATAATTGGTGCTCTTATGTGATAGTAATCCCTAAGCATACAAATACGAGATTTTTTTCCTTTCCCTGAAGCTTTGAGCTTAGAGGATGGAAAAAGGGTGGTAGATTATGGGTGTCTTATTCCGTTTTGGCTGCTGTAACAAAAATACCATAAACTGGGTTGCTTAAACAACAGTTTATTTCTCACAGTTCTGGAGGCTGGGAAGTCCAAGATCAAGGTGCTGGCTGATCTGGTGTTGGGTGAGGGTCTGCTTCCTGGCTTATAGACAGCTGCCTTCTTGCTGTATCCTCACATGGCAGAGAGAGAGAGAGGTCATCTTATAAGGTCTCTTATAAGGGTACTACATAATCCCTTTCATGAGGACTCCACCCTCATGATCCAATTATCTTCCCAAAGCCCAGCCTCCAAATACCATCACACTGGGCATTAGGGTTTCGGTATGTGAATTTGGGGGACACAAACAATGAATTTAGATGAGGAGAGCATAAAGGGCTAATTATGAAGTACCTAAATAGGAAAAGAGGGAATAGTGCTTACAGTGAAGCCTTTGGACTTCACTAGTACTAGGAGAGTGCTACCTTCCTGCTTAGTGTAGGGCAGTATTGTCCAGTAGAAAGACACTGTGAGCCTGTATATAGTTTAAATTTTTCTGGTAGCCACGTTTTTAAAAAAGATTTTCAAAAAAGCAGATGAAATTAATTTTAATATTATATTTTATTTAACCCAATATATCTAAAATATTTTATGAAATCAATATAGAAAGTATTAATTACATAACAATTATATGCTGACTATATAGTTTTCAATTGTGTATACTATAATTGTCCCCTGTGCAAATGCTTCTCCATAAGAAAAACAAATTGTAATTACTGACTATATAATTATATATCATTATATAATTAGATCTTAATTATATAAAGTTAAATATAAAAATTATGAGAGATTTTACATTATTTTTGCTGACTTAGCCTTCAAAATCTTTTGTATATTTTGTGCTTAAAATACATATCAATTTAGACTAGTCACATTTCTTTTTTTTTTTTTTTTTAAAGATTTTATTTACTTATTTTTTCCCCCCAAAGCCCCAGTAGATAGTTGTATGTCACAGCTGCACATCCTTCTAGTTGCTGTATGTGGGACGCGGCCTCAGCATGGCCGGAGAAGCAGTGCGTCGGTGCGCGCCCGGGATGCGAACCCGGGCCGCCAGCAGCGGAGCGCGTGCACTTAACCGCTAAGCCACGGGGCCGGCCCGAGACTAGTCACATTTCAAGTGCTCAATAGCCACATGTAGCTAATGGCTACTATATTGGGCCATGCGGGTCTAGAACTAATAAATAATAATGATAGTTTAATTGTCAGCATATTGTCTAAGCAGTGTCCTTAAGTAAGGGTTTTAAAGGAATAATTTAATCCTTACAACAATGTAGTGAGAACATGTTCTAACAGGGTGCTTTTGACTACAAATAAAAGAAAACCCAACTTAAACTACCTTAAACAATAAGAAAGTTGTGATTAATTGGAAGTCCAGAGGTAGAAGGGGCTTCAGGGGTGGTTTCATCCAGAGCTCCAGCTCCAGATCTTTGCTAACTTCTGTCGGCTGGCTTTATCCTCAGGCTAATAGCAAGATGGCTGCACAAATCTGAACCTCAGATGCATGTACAACAAATGCAGCAGCAGAAGTAGCAGTCTCTTCCTATGACTTTCCTTTAAGAGCAAGAAAACTTAACTCAGAAGTTCTTTAATAAACTTTCCCTCATGTCCCTTTCACACAAATTGGATCAAGGAGTTATTCTTGAGTCAAATCCTTTGGATTTCTAAAGTAGTTCTTGTGCTGTTTCAGGAAGTATTGTTTAAGTGACCATAAGCTTAGCCTTATGTCCTAGTTTGAGTCTCTACTCTGTCACTTACTGATCTAAGAAAGTTATTTGCTTTCCTCTGTCTGTTTCCTCATCTATAAATCATATAATGACCATTGTGATTGTTTCTTCAGCAACCGCTACACTCCTGCCCACTGTGTTTGGGGATTCATCCCAACCACAGAGATAGGCCTTGATAGTCTAAGTCAGTTTTTATCATACCATCCACTTTGCTAGGGTTTAGTTCAGAAACCTAGGCCTAAATTAGTCAGCACATGGCATTCTGTTAACTGAGGAAAAGATTACCTAGAAACATTTTCACAGATGTTGCAACAGTGTGGTAGAAAATGTGATAAGGACTGAGGCAAGGAGGGATGAGGGTTTGATCAAGGTTTCATAGGGCTGACTGGGGAAGGCTTCCTGAAAGAGACTCCTTGGATTATTCTGCAGGTGTTTGCCTCTCCCGATTTATACTTCATTTGAGATATTTTAATTCCTGCCAATTTGTTCTTTTTTCACTTTTACTATTCTTATTAAGAAATACTGCAAGTATACTAAAAAGTTCAGAAAAGGATTGTTCTTTATTAATCATTTCTAAGGTGGAAGCTGAGCGACGAGCCACTGAGGAAGAAGAAAACAAAGCCAGTGTGGAATACATACAGAGATTATTGGCAGAGGAGGAAGAAGAGGAAAAAAGACAGGCAGAAAAAAGGCAGAGAGAGATGGAAGAACAACTGAGAGGTGATGAAGAACTGGCAAGAATGCTAAGCATTAATATTGTAAGTTTTAGGAGAGTACGTCAAAGCATTAACATTTCTATTGCTTTGACTGTGTGGTTTTCAAAGATCTGAAGAAGGGTTCACCATAACTAGAAGCGATTTCTGACATATTTGCCCTACTTAAAACAAAGCTTTTTTGCATATTGTTACATATTTCTTCTAATCCAAGTATACTTTAAAAAAAAAACTTTTTTTATACGTTGTTAGTAAATTCAGATTATATAGAAAAGCTAGTCTATGAAAAATAAAGGCTTCCTTTCCCCCTACCACCTCTCCTCTCCCATTCCTCAAAGATTAGCACTGTTGATATTTCTTAACTTTTTTTCTTATTCACTAAGAAGGATGTATCAATCGTACTATTTTTTTCCTTTTTTCACTTGATATATATTAGAGATTTTTCGTATTACTACATATAATCTATCTAATTCTTTTTAAGAGTGGCATAATATTCCATTATATGGATGCAAATCACTGTTTGAAAGGGAAGCACATTAAATTCTTAAGTAATATATTAAACGTGGATTTTATTATCTTGCTGTAGTTAAATTACTGCTTAGGGGAAAATGAATGAAAGAAAGGATGATAAAACGTGTACTTTAAGACCAAAGAATACAGTGAGACCCAGTGATTTGAAAGAACCTGGCAGAATCACTCGGGGTTGTTTTTTTTTTCCTCCCCAAACCCCAGTGCATGGTTGTACATCCTAGTTGTAAGTCCTTCTAGTTCTTCTATGTGAGCCGCTGCCTCAGCATGGCAACTGACAAGACGGGTGGTGTGGTTATGCAACCGGGAAACAAACCCGGACCGCTGAAGCAGTAAAAGCGCCGAACTTTAACCACTAGGCCATCAGGGCTGGCTCTGGGGTTCTTTTTATTTTTATTTGTTTTTTTTTTTTTTTTTTAAAGATTTTATTTATTTATTTTTCCCCCCAAAGCCCCAGTAGATAGTTGTATGTCACAGCTGCACATCCT